AGGCGTGGCTCAATTGGTAGAGTACCTGCCTAGCATGCGCGAAGCACTGAGTTCAAACCCCAATACTGCCAAAAAAAAGAAAAAGGAAAGAAAACGACACATAAAGACTGCGGAAGTAACTCAGTGGTAGAGCGCCTGGATAGCATTCATGAGTCCGAGTTCTACCACCCCCCAGCACTACCAAAGACAAGAAAAGCAAAAAGACATACAAAGCCAGGTATGGTGGCCCATATCTGGAATCACAACTACTTAATATGCTGAGACAAGAGGATCTCTTGAGCCCAGGAATTCAAGGCCAGCCTGGGCAACGTAAGCAAGAACCCATCTCAGAAAAAAAAAAAAAAAAGACACACAATACAATGTCAAAAATGGATTGGTGCTGAGCACCAGTGACTTATGCCTGTAATCCTAGCTATTTGGGAGGCTGAGGTTGGGAGGATGGCAGTTCAGGGCCAGCCTGGGCAAATCATGTGTGACACCCCATCTCCAAAATAACCAGAGCAATTTTGAACTGGAGGTGTGGCACAAGCACTAGAGCACCTGTTTTACAAGTGTGAAGCACTGAGTTCAAACCCCAGTCCTACCAAAAAAAAAAATGGACTGGTAATACTTTAAAAATATAAAAATCAACTCAAAAAATAAATAAAAGGGTTGAAAATGAGACTTGCTTTTGTTAAGATCCTTTTTTCAATTTGATTTTAAGCAATGTTTATGTATTATTCAATAAAATTGAAAAATTATTTTAAAACTGGAAGGCAGGGCAAGCATGGTTCAAATAGCAAATACTAGATGTGCTCAAAAGATAACTGGGAAGGTGTGATGAGATTTAGGGTTTTAGAGAGGTAGGTTTTGATTGGTAGGGAGGTCTGTGGGGAAATTATTGAATGTTCATAGCAGGAGAACTGCATCAACTGATTTTTTGCTTTAGAATGTTCTTTTAGCAATGTACGAGAGAGGAGTTGTCCATTGAAGACACTTGCAATTTGATATTCAGGAGGGAAGGTGATTGGCTGACCCAGGATTGATTCTCAGCTTTTGGAAAGACTTGCATGATCCCTGGGCTGGGGTACTTGGCTATTTTTCCTCAGGACTCCTGGAAGGAGCCCTATTCAACAATTGCCTTTCAATTCTCATTTTAAAAATATTTAACTTCATTCATGTCCAACCTCCTTTTTGTTGTTGGACATGTGATCTTTTTTTTTTTCCTTTCTTCATTTTGAGGTGCTAGGAATGGAACCCAGGGCCTTGTGCATGCTAGGTAGGCACTCTACCACTGAACTGCATCTGCAGACCTGGGCACATGACAGTTTAGACACATTACTCAAATCCTGGCTAGAGGTTCAGTCTACCTCAATCAGGTGACTGCTTATCCCACTTATTTATTTATTTATTTTTGGCGGTACTGGGGTTTGAAGTCAGGGTCTCATGCTTGCTATGCAGGCACTCTACTTGAACCACTCCACCAACCCTATTTTTGTGTTTGGTATTTTTGAGATAGGGTCTTGCAAACTATTTACCCAGGGCTGGCTTCAAACTGCAATCCTCTTGATCTCTGCCTCCTAAGTTATAGATAGGATTACAGGCATGAGCCATCAGCACCTAACCATATCTCACTTATGATATATTTTGTGTTTAATTAGCTTAGGTTTCAGAGACAACCTTGTTTATCTAATTCAAGGTTCTTGGAGAGAGTCTCCATGTTTTCCCCAATTACTACTTATACTTGGCTGGGAGGATCAAAACCAGAAGCAGGGGGAATCCAGCCTGGAGGCAAGGGCAGAAACTCTAGTGTAGCAAACGGAGGGCCACCATTCTTTTCTCTCTGTCTCTTTTTTTTTTTTTTGGTTATACTGGGGTTTGAACTTAGGACTCCATGCTTACTAGGCAGACACTCTACCACTTGAGTCACTCCACCAACCCTTGGTCTCTATTCTTTTCAGTCATTCTGCTCTGTTGTGCCCATAAGTCCCCCAAAGGTTCAGGTATTTTCCATATTCTGCCATTTATTCTCCCATCTTCCCAATTTTTTTTTTTTGTGATACTGGGGTTTGAACTCAGGGCCTGCACCTTGAACCACTCCACCAGCCCTTTGTTGTGATAGGTTTTTTTCGAAATAGGGTCTTGCAAACTATTTGCCTGGGTTGGCTTTGAACTGCTATCCTCCTGATCTCTGCTTCCTGAGTAGCTAGGATTATAGGCGTAAGCCACCGGTGCCCAGCCCATCTTCCTAGTTGCCTCTGTACCTGGAAGCTGCAACATTAAATCATTGGTCAGATTACATGCCCAGGTTTTTGGTTCACAAAATATGGTCACTATACTCAAAGACTTCATTAACTTACTATTTATTAAGCCTCATTACTGGGGCTGGGAACTGGCCTATTGAAGTCTTTTGATAATCTGGAGATCCTAAGTGGCCTTTTGTTGACAGAAGACTGTGGGGAGTAGCAGAAGAAATTGATTTCTTTTGCTGACATGGATGACAAAGGGGGATCTAGTCCTTGGGTCTTTGCTTCTACATGTGGACAGCTGAGCTTAATTAATAAAAGAGAAAAACCATGGGGTTCTGAAGAAACTAAATATTTTAAGGCCTGAACATTGCTTGGAACTCAGTTAACACAGCCCTATCATTTTGCAGATAAGGAACCAAGGTCCAGAGAGAAGTGACTGGTCCAAGTTCATAGTGCCAGTTAGGGAAGATGCCATAATAAACCCAGCATTCTTTCTATGAGTCTGAACTACCTCCCAGAAGAATGGTGGTCCACCTTCATGAAGTAGGAGGCAGATTGACCATTTGACAGAGCATGGGCCCCTGAAGAGGCCAATGTAGTGGATAGTACTGCATTGATAATTTCCATACATAATATGTTAAATGCACAAAGAGTGATAGACCCTTGAGGTGAGCTGCACCCCTACATTGAAGGTCATATGATGCTGTCTCCTCAGACTAGTAAGAATCAGTCCATAGTGAAGAGAATTGGCTAGTTCACTCTGCATCATGACTTGGAGCTCTTTCCCCATTCACTACCATCTTGAGGACAATAACACATCACATTGAAAATACTTTAGGAAAGGAGCAGAAGTACTATGTCTGGAAACATAGTAAATGCTCAATAAGTTGTTCATGATGATGGTGTTGAAGGTGACTATATATGTTGCATAAACCCTAATGTAGATAACGGCAAGTGACTAGTCTGTGAGCTCCATGAGGGGTTGCTTTCCCAAGTCAGGGCCTGGTGTAGTCAATTGAAGAAATATATATGCTGGGTTTGGGGATGGTGGTTTAGTAAGGCGCCCAGCCTCCTTATGCAGAGGGTTAGTGTTAGGAAGAGAGGCTGAAGGGCTTGGCCTCCATTCTATAGGCAGGCTGCGGAGTCATTGAAGTTCAGGTGTCTCAGATCAGGTTCCTAAGAATAATTGGGCCAGGCTTCAAGAAGCAATCTGTTGCTGCAGAGTGAGATAGAAAGTTTTAATAAATGTGTTGAAGTGCTTTGTGGCCCTGGTCCTCTGTTCCTTTAGGGTACCGAAAAGGCTGAAGGTTGGTAGCGCTGTCATCCACTGAGTATGTACCATGTGCCAGGCACCTTTGAACTTCAAAGCCACTCACTCCATAAAAAAGAGGAAGTGATTCTCTTCACCGTTCCTATACTGCCCCTTTTACTGAATAAAAAAACTGAGACTCTGCTTAGTGAGGTGACTTCTCCCTGAGAATATGGCTATCAAGTAGTTTAAGTGCTGTACTCACCAACATCCTGAACTCCTTGCTGCCTAACTCACTTGATGGGCCTCCATTCATTCTTTCAACAAATGCTCTCTCAAGCTCCTCCTCACCTCCGTATGTGTCCCTCTGTCATTTGGGCACTCAGGGTAGATGTTAGTGCGACTTTCCCCTGCCAACCCATCTTGGTTCTCTCAGCTGAGGCCAGAGTCTGTGATGTGATCATCTCTGAGTCCTTTACAGCCCAGACTGGAGCAGATGGGAGGCCTGGGGTGAAGGGAGGGAGGAAGAAGACAGCCAGGAAGAAGAGGAAGGCTGCTTCTCACACTCTGCCACTTCCAAAGTCCCTGGTCCTCCTTCTTCCACACCCTTGTCCCCCAACATACCAGCTCCTCTGTCCTAACCTCCCTTAAACAAGTGAATGTGAACACATACACACATGTCCATATGCACACACACAGGTGTTTGTTTGCACATGCTCACACATTCCTCTCAGTAAGGAGGAAGAGAGGGAAGGGGAGTGGTTCAGAATTCACTCATTCCCTCAGAGCTGTTCCCCACTCCATTTGCTTCTCTTGCCCTTCTTTTGCCTCTGAGTGGGCCTCACAGTGAAGATGGTAGACCAATGTAGTAGAAAAGAGCCCAACAGCTGACTCATTTACCCTCTCAGCTTCATTCTCTTCATCTGGAAAATAAGCAGGTTGGACCAGGCAATTGGCAAATCCCTCTTGTATGTGGTTAATAATACCGGCATTTGTCTACTGGTCTCAGAGAGCTTAATTATCCCAACAGCTCTGTGAGGATTGGCTTTGTGTTACAAATGGGAGAACTGAGGCTCAAACTCAGCAAGATGAAGTGACTGTCCCAGGTCACAGGGCTGGTAAATGCAGAGCTGTATCTGAGTCTAGGTCTTTCTGTGTTTTAAAGCTCAGGCTTTGCCCCTGCAGCTGCTAGCTGCTTTTCAGGCCACTTTTGAGGAAAGCCACACTACACATTGTGACCCATTAGGTCTCTTGCTATTGGTTCCTGGTACCTCTTTGATGTCATCTTCAATCACCCTTCCCCTGTTCACTCCAACCCAGGCACCCTGTCTTCCTTCCTCCCCGTTCCTCCAACTGGCTAGGCCCTCACCATCTCATGGCCTTTGTACTTGCTAGTCTCCTTGCATGAATGAAATACCCTCTCATTTTCATGATGTGCATTAGGCCCCAAGGTTACTACATAGGTGGTGGGAAAGAGTAGAGCACATTTGTTGACTGTTGGTTCTTTCCTGTTTCCCTTTCAGATCTGATGGTGAGAACTCCAGAACAGTCAGGTCAGTACCTCGTTTCTTTAGTAGTAGTAGATGGGGCAGTGCCTGGGATGGGGGTGGAGGCTCTGGTTTATTACTTTTGGTACCCATGGGCATGGGTGGGGGTCAACTCCAGGGTTCTTCCCCCCCTTGGTGTTAAGGGTGGGTATGAAGTGGAGTGGGAGAACAGGCTGAATGTGGCAGGTACAGGGAGGGGGTTGAAGGCTGTTCTTTGGTCTCTCTGACCCTACCTGACTCAGTAGCTTGACTGAATACTGCAAGGGCTCATAGGAGCTGGTTACATATGAAAGCTGATCTCCGAAGAGGTCAGCTCTGGACCTGAGACCTTTTCTACCTTCTCCCAGGTGAAGAGGGACTGATGGATGCTGGGCTTCCCTGGTGTAGCATTCTCCTACCCTGAACCATACCAGCCTGAGTAGTGGGATTTGGATGGACTTTGGAGTGATACATTCTAGGCATTAGAAATATATATGATGGCGACAAGAAAACTTTTTTTTGCATGCTTGGTTTAAAAGTTTACAAGCTTCAGTAAGCTTTAAAGGTGTAATCAATTGCCACTTGAGGAGGCAGGAATAAAACTGGTAGAGACTGGAACTCTTTGTGCATTTCTCAGGCTTTTACCCATCAGAAGTCTCATGAAGGCGGAGGTAGAATGATAATGTGGAAATGATAGGGGGCTCAGGGTGTGGCCCAATCAGTTTTAGAATCCATACTGGGGACTATGGGATGAGTGTTTAAGATGAGATGGGCCCAGGCAGCAGAGATAGTCAGTCCCAGCCAGGGCTGCCACTAGCATATACTACAATCTTTGTGATGACTAGAAAAATGTGCCCTTCTGAATGGATCAATTGGAAAAATGTTCCCTTTCCTCTGGGTCATCTCACCAGGCAACCCAGTGTGTTATAGTACAGTGTTGAACATCAGTCCCTATTCATGCCTTTCTTGGCTATGACCCTTTGTGCAGGACAGAACTTGCTCAACCATATGCAACAGCACAGGTCTTGTCATTTAGACAGTGGATATGGGCTGGAGGCAGAGGATGCCAGCCCACAGATGGACACACTCTTTCTTAGCATCCCAGGCAGGGGGTCTGGGGTTAATACACTGATGCCTAGTTCCAAGGCAGTGGGACATATTGCCACACCAAGGCGGCAGCATCTAAAGCAGGGAGAATGTGATGGACGCAATCAGCCCCAGTGTCCAGGCAAGCGGGTATATGATAAGTAACATAAATTAGGTCCCAGCATGCAGCCAAAGAACATGCACAGGCCACAGTTTGTCCCTAGCATTAGGAAGGGCACTGTCTAACAAAGGATGTATATCTCACTGTTCACTGTGGGTTTGTAGCAAGGTGACCTAACTGACCCTGAGCCCAAGTTCTCATACAGGAATCTCTGATGATGTGTCGCTACTTAGGAACCAGATTGAAGACATCTCTAGTTCTCAGCTCTTCCCAGCAGGGGAATTCCTAGGATCTTTAGCTCAGGGTATTTAATTAAAGTATCATAATCATAAGTCATATGTCTTTATAAGCATAAGTC